ATAATATTATGTTTACATAAGTATGTACGTACATATGTAGTTTGGCAATTTTTGGATAAAAACTACATTTTACTTGCATTTAATATATTTTTATTATTCACAAAAAAACTTTTATTTTTTTTTGTTTTAAAATTACATTAATATAGGTAATATTATTCATGGTTCTTTTTAGTATGCGATTTATACTTAATATTAATAATAGCATGTTGTATTAATTAAATTAATTGTAAAATTTCTGTTTTTTATGATTTTGTAATCGCAAATTTGCATATATGTATTTATAAATACTTTACAGAAATCGAAAGAAAGAAAAATTTATATAATAATTAAGTAAATACCTAAGCAATTACAAATTTATTTTTAGTCCAGGCAGGAGTATTAAGGGGAGAAAAGGTATTGGCCAAAATCACTTAAACAAAGAAGCTGTATTTCTCTCCATTCCGTTCCGCATTTTATACCCGGCTAGCTTGGCAAACCACGGACAATTTTCGTATAATTATACGATTCGCACTTAAATGCAACCAATCGTTGTTGTTGTCGTAACAGTATACAAACTCCCCAAAGAGGTTTTACAGAGTGATGCTGGAGTGAGAGTCCTTGGCCAGATATAAGTCTGGGTCGTTCCTGTTTCGTAGGCCCGACTGTCGTGGGAACGTTATTTTGGTGTGGTTAAAAAGCTAGCCGAAATCTGCCAAGGGAGTGAAACGAGATGTATTTTTTTAGATTTATTTGCTAATTGGTATTGGCATTGAAAAAGGACTTCAACAATTACTTTTTACAAAATGAAATTTTTTTAAGGCGCAATGCTAAGCAACCGTTTATTATAGAAAAATATGTTTTGCTAGTTGCATTGATTTACTTTTAGTTTGGTATCATTTAATCGTATGTATGTATGTGTGCATATTTTGTTGTAATATGTTTATGAAGCTATTTTGCATCCATGGACAGGCAATATGTATGTACATGCATGGATTAAAAGAGCGCGAGAGAGCAAACGTTGGCCTGCATGACTGAATAGCAAACAAAACAAGTAATTTTTAGCAAAAAAAAACCGACTTAAAATATATATATATATATCTACATATATATTTCATGATTCAATGAACGGATCTAAACCAAATTAGTATGGGACACTACCTTTCCGTTGCAAAAAGAATTATCGTAATCGGTTGACGTGGTCCAAAGTTATGCGGTAACATACATAAAAATAAATAAATATATTCCGACGAACTGATAACCTCCTCCTTTTTTGGAAGTGGAAAGGAATACATATGTAGGTACTCTCCATGATTCAATAATGAAAGGTTTTGTAAGAAAAACTTTCTCTCGCTCTAATTTTATCAATGACACTCCCACCCTACTCCTAAAAACAAAAACAGTGATATTTCTTTTCCAAATTTCTTTGCAAGTTTTAAGAACATTTTTAAATTGTTAGTAGTGAAATTTTTACTTTTTAAATTTGAAGAAATGTTTGTTCTGCATTCGCTGGCGCCAACAAGACAAAATGGGTGAGAATCGTTGGACTACAGAAATTCAATGTTAAGGGACGAAATTCCCTTAAATGCCGAAATGTATTTGTCGATATTCGTGGAGACCTCTTGATTCTGCCAAGTCGCTGTAAAGTAAAGCGTTCAATGAGCCAACGAAGGTATTTAGGTATTGTACTCCACGACACAATCCTGGTGTCTCCGAATGAGATTTTGACGCAATATAACATTGCCAAACCGCATCCATAGGCCCAATCGTCACACGACAGCTCGGTTTAGTCAATGGCGCGATGTAATTGCACACTTAAAAGGTGTACGCACGAGGCGAATGTTGGCTGGCGACCAACTTTATTGAAAGCGATTAGCTGAAAGTAGAATGCAAAGTTGAACAATACAAACGCCTTTTTATGGCGAATATTTTAATATTTTTTTATATTTTGATATTTTTAGTCATTCAAATTTTTTTTCGTGCAACCCGGCGGGAGTTGAACGCAAAAGTTGCCTGAAAAATCGCCTCGTGCGAAAGCCCCAGTACGCCACTTCTCATTTGACGATGTAGATCACGTTCCCTATCTCAGTCGTTCAGTAGCTGCGTGCTCTGAGTTCGTCCGGCACCAATCGCCAACTGCGGCTGTGCAAGCCAGTGTTGAATATTTTCCCCAGAACATAAAAAGTGCGACATCAAAGAATTCGAAACAATCGAGCCATAACCGCGAAAGAAACGTAAGCTCCAAATTTTTTTATTTGCCGTTTTTTTGTTTAATAAATATTGCATATTTTCCGCAAACAAATAGCTTCTTCATGTCCATCAACTGGCAAACAAATACAACAAAAAAAAAGCTGAAAGTGGACCATCCATTCTCGAGTTATGCGCCATCTGACGTACGCAAGTTTGGTATAAACATAGAAATATTTATTTTTAATAACAATAGGGGGTTATATTCGATGTAAATAAGCTTGTTTAAATTAAATAATTAAATCAAATTCGTTTTTGTTTTAAAATACCACCATTCACTATTATCCACACGTTTTTATAGAATTTAGCTCCCATTTTAGGAAGTGTGATTGAATTCTTCCCCTTTTTCTTCTGCTTCCAAAAACCATCCCTGTGGGTGGGAGTGCCAAATTTTAGAAAAAAGCTACTTACAAAACCTTTAATAATTGAATCATGGGTACTCTCTAAAACTTGCTTTATTATTATTTGGATCCATTGATTTATTCATTTACACAATTCAAAATCATGTATTCACGCAAAAGAAAAATAAAAAAAAATGTGTATTCTTGCCATTTTGTCTGTATGTATGTTCGAATCGCAAATCAAGTCTAAAAATTACATAATAGAAAAATCACAGTTTTTTAAGCATCAACTTAACTCGACCATTTGTCTGTGGTTCAATAAATGGTTAAAGCAAATGCTGAAATAAACGAAACAATGTTCTTCTGATGAACTTATAAGTATTATGTATGTATGTGTTATGAGATATGACTTTTTTGAACACACATAGGCCAAATCCAATATTTGAATTGAGTTTCCAGCTAAAATGTACC